AACCTTCCTTGGTAATATATTGTTATTCTGACAAGATAGGCAGAGACAGATTTTTATGAATTGGATGGCGTGGGGGTGACTTCTGATCAAGGCTGATTCTGGGATGGATGCTGATTTCAAAATGCATTGCACATGCTCAACACCTCTGATGATCAGACCCATCCTCTTCTCGTCCACACTACCAGCACTTTTTGATTTCAGAAAATAAATTAAAATGATTTCTTATGTCTTCATATTTATAGCAAATCAGATTTAAATAACTGGTTCTCATTTCACTTTTCAGACGAAGAAACAAAAATTGCAGTTGACCTGTTGACCTCTTTCATTCTTGCTACACTTTAACTATTTCTAGATATTTTCTTTCTTTCTTCTTTCCTTGCACCCTGGGATACATCTGTTCACTCCACAATCAGAAGACCACCAAACAAGGTTCCAGAAGCCCTTGCAACTCATCTCCTTATTCTTCTCAAGGCCATATTAACCCCATCTTCAATGGGAGCTGCACATGCACCTCCAAAAATCTGGCTAATTTTATTTTTGGCACCTAGGCAAAAACAATGTTCTGTGTTCCACCCTGCTGCCTCTGCAGCCCTTCACACATTTCCAGCTCTGCTGGTGGTAACAGCAGATACTAGAATCGGTTTCTCCTACTCAACTTTTTACCCATGTGATTGTCACTCATCAAGTGGTGTGGAGTAAAATGGGAGCAGGAGGGATTAAGAGCCTAAGGGTTATAGTCTGAGAGGGAGAGTGTAATCTGATATGACAATAGCTAGCTTCATACAGGAATACAGATCTGAGGAGTCTGGAGAGGCTAAAAAATGTCTTTGGCTGCAGATAGATCACTTTTGCTTGCAGGTAGTTTTCTTGGGGTGCTTTAACACAGCAGTGGATCAGTGATGCAGTTAGGCAGTTAAGTGAGCACAAAGAATCTGAGGGTGACAGCCTAGCCATTGCTCAAAATACAACAAGGAGTATACAAAATAGCAGTGAAGTGGTGAAGTGCTGGGGGTATTAAACCTGCCAATGACAGATCAATTCAGGGAACTGATACTAAAGTCTCTGATGCTCTGGAATAAAAAGCCTGCAGCAGAAAGTGAAAAGATAGATCCTAATGTAGAGAGGTGAATTCAAGTTTTGCCTGCTGAAGATAGAAGAACATTGGCAGGTTTAATTTATCTGGCTCGCTTTAGGGCAGGAGTATTGTCATGGTGAGAATAAAGCAGTAATGATATAGTAATTCCTGGTTTCTGTTTCCAGGTCTGCTAATGACCTTGGGCAAATCTCTTAATTTCTCTGTACCTCAGTGCATCCTCCAGTAAACTGGATATAATATTCTGTCTATCTAACTTAGGGTTTTATATTGCCACCCACCACTGTAGTATCAGAACATCTTCCATGTAAAATCACTAGCTCTAGCAATGTCCCTAGTGGATGTTTGGTTCTTCTCAGTTTTGTGGGTAAAATCTCTCCTTCAGGTAGGGGCTTGGAGTTTTTTGGATGGTTGGTTGAATTGCTTCACTTTCTTTCTTTCTTTTTATTTATTCATGTGGAGAAAGGGGGATGTTGGGAAGAAAGTGTTGTCAATGCTGTATCATTCCTGTTATGGTAGAAAGGCTTTTTGCAATATTTCCTTCAGGCTCTTGATATTCACCTTCCATACCTCTGAGGGGTGTTATGAGGCTTACTTAATGAGTGTAAATTGGAATTATTTTAATAAAAAATGTAGTTTCGGTGTTTTGGCCAAATTCCATTCGGATAATTGGATCCTGCCTATCTAATATTTCTCCATAGTTTCAATTGAATATAGCATTCTTTTCTTTCTGTCCTTAATCGTGTACTGTATAAACATTGCTGCCTTCTATCTCAGAGATGACTGCATTTCAAAGCTGGGTGACCCCACTACATACCCATTGGAGTATGTAAATTTTATTGAATGCTTTGGGACCTGTGGATGAAAATGCACTATTATCATTATTGCGATTATTCTGCAAGGATTTAACTGCATACCTTTCATTTGATTAAAGCATTCATGACATATTTGTGATTTTGGTAAGATTCTATAGGTGATCCGAAAGAATGAAGAATTATCTTCCTGTCCCTGCACCCAAAGGGGCTTCTGTATTCCTGACAAAGCCTACAAGATTGATCCATGGGGAGGGAAAGTGAGAAATAAAGAACCACAAGTGACAAATACTAGCTTTGTTCCTTAATGCACTCAGATACTATGGTGATGAGGGCCATATAAAAAAGGGAATAGAATAAAATAGAAGAGAAGATCCTCCACTTGCTTTAAACTCCCACACCATACAGGAAACTGCAATCCTTCCAAGCCAGGGACTGGACTCCTTTCAAAGTCTGTCAGTCCACTCCTTAATTGGCTGGAGGAGTCACTCTGATTTTGAAGAATTTATTGATACCCACCTACCATCCTTGAAGTTTTATGGTAATATAGATCCATTAGAAATCCATTTTACGGAGATATTAAAATAATGAAGGTGAGAATTAAGAGAGCAGCACACTCCTTTGAAAGACCACTGATCATAATATAGTGCTTTAGAGAAAGTTATCATCCAGTCCCCTTAAAGAAAGTTATCAATTAGTCACTATTTAAGGCCTAGGAGAATTGTTCCCTGAAGAGGATTTTAGGAGGAAAGCCATATACTAAGTGATAAATTTATCACTAGGGGCTGCATGGCTCCATGGATTAAGAAGAAATGGTATAGAGTATTCAGAACACAGAGCAAGATGACCTGTTAACTTCCGAAATGCTGAGGAAGGTTCCATGTACAATATTACTAACAAACTGATGAGGTCTCATAGAATAGCCACTTTTTCCTGCCTCAGCACCTTAAAATATTTTTAGCCAACCACCTTTGTCATGTGCCGCTCTGATATCCGAAGTATTATGGCATTAGCTGGGGACAATGGATGGCACTATTCTACTCAGAACAGAGTATGTTAGAGATGATGTAAAATATGTCAGTAAGTGGGCATAAGGAACATCTTATGGGCCGAATTCAGCCCTGGTATAATCCTATTAATGTCACTGGGGATGAATTTGGGCCAGTTACTCTCCCTTATAACCACATGCACCCACTGATGTAATTTACACCACTTTACTTGTCACCTTTGAATGTGTTTAACAATGCTGCACTCAGTCAGGGTGGTCCTAGTTGTGTGCAGTGGAACAGTTTTTGAAGAACACCTGAGAACAACTCTCCACTCAGTGTGCAGCATCAACAGAAATAAAGGTCATAATTATTGGCTTTGCTATGATCCTTAAATATGCTTTTATCTGCTACACTGGAAGATGTAACTGCTTTTGAAAACTAAGCCCAGTTTTCAAAAGCAGTTGAGTACATTGGTAGCACAAATGCTGCATTCCCATGAGCAGAGGGGCACTTAGATGAACAACTACTGGGGTTTTTTGTTTTTATTTATTTATTTATTGTGGCTAAGTGGTGCCCAGTTTAGGTGCCCACTTTGGAAATTTGGGCTCGCTATAGGCCCAATACTGAGACTTTCTTTCCTCCTACTCTCTAAGCAAATCTCATGTAGAAAGGCTTTGCTTCGGAGACCTACAAGGGAGCTAGGGTAAACAGAGTTCTCATTTCAAATTGGCAGCAAGGGTTAAACATACATTCATTTGCTACTCCTCTGCATCTCCAGCAGTAGCTGGATGAGGCCTGCTGTTTCCCTTCTGTATGGCTTTGTGCCCATGCGGATCCTCATTATGAACTGACTCAATGGCCATCCCTCTGCCATGTGCCCCTCCCTTCTGCAGAGATCTCCTCTGCAATGCACTTGAGGGCATGAAGCTCTCCAAAGGGATTCTCCATTGATTTTTGCCTCCCCAGGCACAGCCCCTGCAAAGCAGACATGCAGCTTTTAAGTGCATGTACACAGCTCTATTCAGGCAAACTAGTATGACGAGCGAAGACAGTATGAAGAAAAGGAGTACTTGTGGCACCTTAGAGACTAACCAATTTATTTGAGCATGAGCTTTCGTGAGCTACAGCTCACTTCATCAGATGCATACCGTGGAAACTGCAGCAGACTTTATATATACACAGAGAATATGAAACAATACCTCCTCCCACCCCACTGTCCTGCTGGTAATAGCTTATCTAAAGTGATCAACAGGTGGGCCATTTCCAGCACAAATCCAGGTTTTCTCACCCTCCACCCCCCCACACAAATTCACTCTCCTGCTGGTGCTAGCCCATCCAAAGTGACAACTCTTTACATAATCAAGTCGGGCTATTTCCTGCATAAATCCAGTTTATGCAGGAAATAGCCCGACTTGATTATGTAAAGAGTTGTCACTTTGGATGGGCTAGCACCAGCAGGAGAGTGAATTTGTGTGGGGGGGGTGGAGGGTGAGAAAACCTGGATTTGTGCTGGAAATGGCCCACCTGTTGATCACTTTAGATAAGCTATTACCAGCAGGACAGTGGGGTGGGAGGAGGTATTGTTTCATATTCTCTGTGTATATATAAAGTCTGCTGCAGTTTCCACGGTATGCATCTGATGAAGTGAGCTGTAGCTCACGAAAGCTCATGCTCAAATAAATTGGTTAGTCTCTAAGGTGCCACAAGTACTCCTTTTCTTTTTGTGAATACAGACTAACACGGCTGTTCCTCTGAAGACAGTATGGCAAGTGCAGAATCCCCATTCAGGAGCTTGGTGCCACTGGAGAAGCTGGCATACACACTTCGAGTATATTTAAACATGTTTTCACCCTGGCAGTTCTGGAACGGAGCTAAAGCAAAAATGCCCAAAAGGGAAGGCAATGCAGAGCATTTTTGCCACTGAGGAGCAGGATTTTGGATACATGATGCCAACTAAAAGAGGCCCTGCCTGAGCACATGAGAAATCAGAAGCGTGTTCATGCCTTGAACTAGCAGGTGGGAGTGAGAGTGGAGAAACAGGAGGCTCCTAACTTGTGTGCTGACTGATCAGATGACTCACAGGCTGACCCCAGACACATCATGTGACTCCCTTGCACTCAAATCAACCTAGGTGCAAAACTGAGCCAAAGCACTGAGAGATTGCTGAACTCTACTGGGGTAAGTAAATTACAAACAAAATATTTGTGTTTACTGTGGGGATTTGACTGTGCATAATAATATATTACTCATATTGAGAACTACAGGAGTTTTATATGTTTAAATATGTACAATTAATTAGACAGAATTGTTTTTAATATGGTTCTTCCCTATAATCTCATTCTGAACTAATAGACTTTTTACTGGATCAAGATTTGGAGTATTTTCCATTTTGTGAATGTTATTACTGCCTCTTAGCTCAGGGAAACAGTTTTGGATTCATTCTTTCTATTTTTTTAGTGTGTGTGTGTGTGTGTGCCTTTAAAAATGCTGTTAAGAGAATATTAAGGTTGTATGGTATATCACACAACAGTCAAGAAATGCAACCTTAAGTCTGCCCCCTTGGGAATACGCTTTGTGATGTAGTCTTTAATTATATGGTCAAATAAAAGAAAAATATAATTCTCAAATAATACAACATGATGTCATAACATATATTAAGTGCAGCAGCTTGAAGGAGTATGCACTACTGTGTGTATGATAGGCAAACAGAGTCTATTCAAGTAATTTGCATGGAAAGGACAAAATAAATCATTCTTACAAAATTTAATACAAATTAAGTATAACAGAGTGTAATAGTGACTTGACTTCTCTGTGAACACAGAGGACCAGATTCTCAGTTTATGTAATCAGCATCACTACATCAAAGTCCATGGCGCTGGATATCCTGGCCCAGGGTGAAAGCCCTAACAGTCAGAAACAAAGGAAATGAAGGAAGAGCGCTCATCTGACCATATTTCAGGGTGTTTTGTTCTCAGAGTTCCCCTTATAAAGCCCCCCACCAAAATGAAAATCAACAAGGAAATCTGCGTATGACTACAGCATTATATGCTATGCTGGAAAAACCCAGTAAGGGCTAGATTGGGTTTTTGAAAGCAGAAGCTCTGTTGGGGAGTTGTGTGGAATTGAGCATGGGACGAGAAGAGTTCATTGCACTCATCTTCCAAAACTGACCTTCAGGTGATTATGAACACAGAAGGAAGCAGGGTCTTGGCCACACCTCCACACAGAAAAGCCACTCCCATTTCAAGATATTGGAAACATCAGGTTGTGCTAGCCCACTCACAACCCTGGAACTCAGGTTGTGCAATTGCTGACACTTTGGCTGCCCTTTGAGTAGGAGAGCAAGGTGGAGGAAAGGGGTCCCTGCTTGCATTTTCCCCTGCTTGTTCACCCACAAAAGAGCAGCCAGAATCTGACACTAAGACATTGCAGAAGACAGTGCAAGAAAATGCAGCTCTGATTAATTTACTGTTGGGAAAAAATCACTACTTGGCAAAATATGAAGTTTTCAATGTGTGCCTAACCGTAAAGGGGCCATCTGCAAGCAATGAATGTGTCTGCATAGGCTTCATCTGAGACTGCAAGGAACTCTGAAAAGTTCACTGCACATTCCAATACTCTGTGGGTCCTTACTAATGCAGCTGCTATACAATAACCTTAAACAACCCTTGTCAGAATCTGAATGAATAGAAAGTAGCGTGTATTCCACATCTTCCCCCAGGTGTAGATGCATTTTTTTTTATCTTTCCAATGTTTTCCTTCATACCATACTCGTTTCTGATCAGAACAAACATTTTGTGGCTGATTCTCTTCCACTGAAGCAGTTGGACCAAACTTTAAAGTGGTGTAAATGAGAGGAGAAACATGCTTCAGGCTCACTGTCTGGTGCTTGGATGCCAAGACAGATGTATTGCTTTGAAGTGGTGTTTTTTGGTTGGTTGGTTGTTCTTTTTTGTTTTGTTTTTTTGGGGAGGAGGTGAGACAAGGTGGGTGAGGGAATATCTTTATTGGGCCAACTTCTGTTTGGGAGAGAGAGAAGCTTTCGAGCGACTCTGAGCTCTTCCTCAGGTCTGGGAAAGGTACTCAGAGTGTCACAGCTAAAAAGAAGATCAAACTGAAGGTTTAGCATCAGTAGGTTTTTTTTGTTGAGCATTTTATGGCTTGGTACAGTATAAATCAGCTTGTCTAAGGGTATCATTTTGTTTCATTAGTGCCCCTCAATTCTCTTTTATGGTAAATGTTTGGTTCATTTATATATGCCGAACACAGCTACACACACACTCTTCTGGAGCCAGCACCAGTGTTAGCTAAGAAAGGGGTACATACTTGGGTATTAGAAGGGTGCGATGGGGCCTCTATTAAGTTTGAGTACTATTTTGCACTTGCAGGGTTTCAACCTCTGGTTTGTACAAAGGATACAGTGCATACTCTCATAGGTTTACAACACATCATGTTTGATTAAAGACCAACTTTCCCAGGCATCTTCATCTAAACCTATTACTTAGTTTATGAGTTAAACACAATTGTAAAATAAGACCTTTAAGAATTTTTAGTGTCTCACCATTTTTCAGAACCCTTTTGCTGGTTTGTTATCCTTCACATTTTGCATATAATTAAAAATGGTAGCCAGTTACCTTCAAATATACACTTGAGAGGGCAGTAGGTGGTAAGTAAGCAGAGTTAACACTTACAAAAAAAATCTTACCCCCATTCTATTCACAATTTTTGCTGAACAAAAATGGCCACTATTTGCTATAATCTGCAATGGGACTGAAGTTACCCAAATGAAGCAAAGATATTTATGCCTCAGTAAAGATAGCTGCTACTTCGCTGGAGGGGTGATCATAATAAAGACAGCCACTGGGACTGATCTCTGGGAAGATGAATGCTATTTCACTAAAACGATAATACTTCTCGACCTTCCAGTGTGTGACACAAGCAGTTGAAATGTGGAACCGGTGTTTTGTTGTGCATTGTGCCATAATGCACAACAAAATTTATGAATGTTTATTATGTTTTTTAAGTATAAAACCTGTTTTAAGGATATTTCTCGTTATACAAATTATATGAACCAGATTTTTTTTTTTTTAAGAAAACTATTTCAACAGAAATTCTGTCATCTGGTCTCACAAAGAACCGCAACATGGGTCTTCAGCAGGGTTGAATCCTGGACCATCTGACACCCAACCCAGACTATTATTACATGAACTTCAGGAGTAACTGTTACCTTCTACACAAGGGGACATGACACACTTTGCCAGTGCATTACATAGTTATTTGCTACACACCAGCAGAACGCTAAGAATAAGACCACCTGGGTTCTATTCCTGGCTCTTGGAAATGGTGTAGACTAGTGGTTGGTTAGAGCAAGGAGACTGAAATCAGGAATTCTGTGCTCCATTCCTAGTTCTGGGGAGGGGAAGGAAGGGGAGGGGATTCTTTAGCGTCTCTAGACAACATAGCCAAGCATATAGGGTTCTTTCTGGGAGATAGTGTAGCTCAGTGGATAAGTCTGGTGTGCTACATTGGTGACCTGTGTCCTATTCCACACTCTGCTAGAAATGACATTGTGCAGCTGCTCAGCTTATTTATAAAATGGGGAGGCTGATGCTTGACTGCCTCCTAAGGTAGGGGTCCTTGCAACATTAGCCAGTGTTTGAGATTGATATGCACAAGTTAAGTGTGTGGTGTGTAATGTGTTTGTGGGGAGGCATGAGATCATAATTAAGGTTTTGCTTTGTACTGCGAGGGAGACTAAAGTGTTGTGTGTAACGTATTCCCTTATCTGTTAGAAGCAGAAAGAAGTTCTTTGTAATGATATGGATGGAGTCTGTTGCTATCTATGGAAATGTGCTGTGTGGGCATTAGGAGACAGGTAAGATTTGTTCCATAACATGGCTTTTTCTTGCTTTTTAGAGTTTGTATTGGATGACCACCACATTTTACCAACCTGACTTGCTTTTAAACAACATATCTGTGTATGGAATTATATACAGAATAGAGTGATTATATTTTTGCAATCTGGAAGTGAATATCTGACGACAGTTCTACTGAAACATTAGGTCGTTTCCCTTTGTTTTGTTTGTTGGGTCTGGTGCCTCATTCTCGGAGCTGCGGCTTCTGCTGAAAAAGACAGAGGTCCATTGTTTCTGCTGCTTAAGAAATACAGTGAAGGATTTATTTTGTTGGAACTAGAAGGGAATGACTATGCCAGGATTTGCTAGTGTGATTTTTGTTTGTTCTGTATATCAGCACATACCATCTGTATATCAGCACATACCATGAGCAATAATGGTGTGCCAGCCAAAAAGCAAGGCTGATGCGATGGCCTACATTTTTAGAAGTGTCCACTAATTTTAGATGTCAGACAGACACCTAAGACCTGATTTTCAAAAGTGCCGATCATCTGCATTCTCATGACAGTTGCTCGGCCACTCCAAAATCAGGCCTTGGGTGCCACAAGTTGGACACCAAAAACTAGGGAACCCTTCTGACAGTGCAGACAGATGTATTTAGAGCACTCATACCATGACTGAGATGACACTCAAGGTACTGTTAGATGTGCTGTGATGGTAGGCAATCAAACTGTTATAAATGAATACTCCTGGGGAAATTCTGCACCACTGCGGCTCAGCAGAAAAATGCCCCCCTGCAGATTCTCTTTGCTTCCTTGCAGAAAATGATTTCTGTGGGAAAGCCAAGAGAAGCTGCACCAGTACTCACTCACCCCTCCCCCGCAGCTCAGAGGTGTCTGTTCAGGCAGCCAGGGGGAGAGGTAACTCACTGGGGAGAGTGGGGACTGGGGATGCCCTGGCCACCCAGTGACATTAGTCACAGCTGGGTGGGAGGGCGGGGGAGGATGGAGACAGTTCCCCCTCCCCCTTCCCTGCATGGAGCAGCCCCAGAAACTTCACGTGGCTACAGGAAGCTCTGGACTGGGGGGCAGGGGGGGGAGGGGAGTTTCCAGGTGCGGGGGGAGGGTAAGGCTCAGTGGTGGGGAGGGTTGGGTGCAGGGGAGACTGGATGCACAGGGGTTGGGCAGACAGGGAAAGCAGCTCCCTGTACAGTGACCCTTCCCCCCCACCAGCGCACCTAGAACCCCACTGCTGAGCCCTCTCCACATCAGGAGCCCCCTGAACCCAGAGTCCCCCCACCAAGCCCCACAAACGCCTTCTCTGCTGAGCCTCACCCCCTGCATCAGGAGCCCCCCACACTGACCCCCCACCCCTCCAAGCCCCACTCCCTCAGTCCCCTTCACTGAGCTCTAATCACCTTCACCTGGAATCCCCTGCAGAGTCCCATTCCCCCTGCACCCAGAACCGTGCACTGAGCCCCTGTGTAGCCAGATTCCCCCCAAACCCAGACCTCCACCAAGCTGCCTGCACCCAGATTGCGCCACACAGAACCCTTGTACTCTTGAAAATGCATCCGATGAAGTGAGCTGTAGCTCACAAAAGCTTATGCTCAAATAAATTTGTTAGTCTCTAAGGTGCCATAAGTCCTCCTTTTCTTTTTGCGAATACAGACTAACACAGCTGCTACTCTGAAACCTGTACTCTTGAGGGAATTCTGCAGCCAAAAATTAAGAAATTTAAAATTCTGCAAAGTTCTGCATATTTTAATTGTCAAAATAACACAGAAACACAACAATATAATCACACCATTTTCAATTATTTTGGTAATTTATTTCAAAATAATTTTCAGCAAATAATTTCAAATGGTGATTATATTGTGATTTTTTGACAAATAAAATATGCACATTGTTACAAAATTTTAAAATATTGTGTGCAGAAGGGGAGCAGCCCCAGAATTATTAATTTTTTGGTGCAGAATATTTAATTTTTTGGCTCAAAACTCCCTCAGGAGTAAAAGGAATAGAGTTTGTTTGGTTTGTTTTTGTCAATGAATTGAGAGGTCAAAGATGTCAAACTCACATCATCCCCAGAGACTGAATTACTTTACTTATTAGAAAAGGATCAGCACAGGCAGCAACAGAGCTAGTTCACCACGCCCCGCTCTGCCAGTGGGACTCAGCCAAGACTGGAAGAAGCACTTGTACAAAGAGGGGTTCAGTATTCAGTCCTTGGCCTCTGCTCACAAGGTGACAGCTGCTTGGTGGGTTTGGGTGATGTAGGTGCACCTTTCAAGTAGGAACTGGACTGAGATCACAAGTACATGACTGCCAAACAGATGATAATACTGGGTCACCACCAACCTGGGCTGTTTTCAGACTGGTGACCCAAGAGTGAAGTTCTCTGTATTTTATCAATAACCCCCAGAGTCATCCAGTCAGACTTGTTGCAAAATGTAACTTCTTTTCAGTAATGCTGCTGACAGGTTTCCCACATACTCTATGTGCCATTGGTTGAAGCACATGCTTAGGGGAAGGGGAGTCTGTCCTTGTCCTCAGCCAGGAGGTTACGCCTTGATGGAATCGCAGAGTGCGGGCAGAAATGTTAGCCCTTAACAAAGCATGAGGAAGGTATCCTACCATGTTGATTCATTGGTGCAATAGAGAAAAGGCTCTCTGTACTTTCTGCTGTCTCCACTACACCCACAACATACACAGCTCATCCATGGAACACAGGTCAGGATTAGGCTAATATTTTGGAATATGTCCATGTTGTTTAAAAAAGTCTGCCTGATTCAATGTTAGATGAACTTTCTAAGAGCTCTGATACCTGAGAAGGTTTCATGTTCCAGAGTTATTTATTTGTCTTATGAAGAACATCACTTTGAACACACTGTCTAAATAAGAATTAATTGTGTTAAAAATTCAGGTTAATGAATACTGTAAGAAGTTGTCTTGGGGGGAGGCTCTTTTGTGAGAGCATAACCCTGATGTTAGCAGGACCCAGTCTCTGTGGAAACAGGTTACTCATCTTTTCCAGAAGATAGATGCATGTTTATTTTCTATTCTCTGAAGTGGTTAATCTACATGTGGAGCAAAGAAAAGATGGCTTACTAGGCTAATTGCTAATACAAAAAAAAAAAAAAAAAGTACTGTGAGCAAATATTTGAAAACAGACACAGAAGGCTGTGAAAACAAATACAATCTCATTTTCCATGAAGTTTTCCCACCAGAAATCATGCAGTTCAAAGAGACGTCCAGTAAATACAGTACCTTCAGGCTTCCAGTGCCAATGCTGTTCATTAGCCACCTCCTAATTCTATGATGCAGAGCCAGATTAATGGAAAGGTGACTAAGGAAGGCACCAAGGGACCCACTAATGATATTGTATAGTCCTTAGAGGAGACCTCTCTAGCCATATTGCCCATGTAAGGCAAAATACACACATCACAAGGATACAATGCCATATAATCACAAAAAAACCCAACAGAATTTCAAGAGGGCAAGATGTCATCACAGAAGGGGTGCCGGGAACTGATGAAACCCAAGATGGAAAAAATAATTGCATGCATGTTTTTTAATACAAGGGGATCGCCCTAAGCTCATTAAAACAGATCGAAGTTTTAAACCGTGTATTACTTTAAAAATTAATTTACGGCTGTGGGGCTCAGTGGCCCAGAGAACATTAAAATGATAAATCCAGAAAGATGATGTGATTAGAAGAGAGTATTACTTTGGTCACAACATGGACTTTCAAAGCTGTGAAGGGGAAGCATCACAGCCATGTTAACCTTTGTCTCATTGTTTCTGGTTTTAACCCTGAGTTTCAGAGAGTTTAAAGAATCATAAAAGTTTGGTCCAAGATTAAATATTATGTGCAAGAGTTTGAGGTTTTCTATCTATCTTTGTTGCATCTGATGCAGCGCTAGAATGTAAGATTATACAACTTTATGTTATACTTCCTGACTGAAAAAGAAGTTCTTGTAAGCATTCAGGACAACTTTTGTAAAACATACAGGGCCCAATCCTTGGGTTTGGCAGAGCTGTGCTTCACCCACCCACGACCCGAGTGAGGAGGCAAAGGTGGTTGTATGCCATCTTTCTGTTCTCCTGATCTTTCAGGCCAGTTCAATCCTAGAGTAAGTTAGGCAAATCTCAAGGCTGCTCTAATTTATGTTGGCTAGTGATAGCCTCCAAGGGGTGTCATTTCAGCAAGAAATTGTTGGAGTGCAGCAGTGTTCCTGAGATACACCTCCATGCCCCTATGGCAACTGCATTACTTAGTTCATAATAGCTACATCAGTCTTTTAGAGGATAGGTTTTCATACATGGAGACAATGGGTGCACCCACAAAAATGTGGAGTGCACGGGTTGCTTGTGGAGAGCTCCATATTACACACAAATTAAATTTTGCATGAAGAAGTATCCATTTACTCCTGTAATTACCTTATTTGTGTGCACAAATGCCATTTGGCAATGAGCTAGAATGCTCTTGCCAGCTGTCCCAAGGTTTAAATCGGGGGGGGGAGAATGAGGACTGGCATTCTTGGTGGTGAGTGCTCTGCCCTGAAACTCACTACTTCTTGCAGATCCATCAAAGCCATGTCTGTCCACTTTTAGGGCACAGTGCAAGAGGCACCTATTCTGTTTGAATGCTGGCTGGATTTTCAGTCGATGAGGCTATTGGCAACACTGTAGTGGCACTTTAGGCAATGGTAAATAAGTGTTTCAATTTGTTATAGTGTTAGGTACCATGGGCATCTAGAAAACACTCAGAAATAAAAAACAACAGATGAATTTAGCAAGAGCTTCCCATGCACAGGAGGTGCTTGTGTGCCTATTGCATCCACATTTAAAAATTTGGCCCTGGAGCTGCAAGACAAATCACCCCAATGACAGCAATTTCCAATTTATAAGTGGTTACTCCCTTTAACCTTTCCTGTTGCGAGTATCACTTGGGTCTCCAGTTTGTGGAGGATGGTGCACAGACATGTTCTGTAATACCTGGGCACAATGAGATCTGT